GGTTTGTCTCTTGGGGGCTTGTGCGAAGGCCGAACCTGCAGGAGGACCGTGCCATGGGAAGTCTGGCCTGGACTGATGCATCCTGGAAGCCCTCGGACACAGAGTCATTGCGGTGCCTTGCAGTGGCGGATCTCATCTGTTCCTTTGCATGGCGTGCACACCCTGTAGCAGTGGCACCCAAGTCCAAGGCCTGGCCCGCAGGTGCGGTCCCCCCACTGTGACGGGTAAGAAGAACTTTGCCTGTCTAAAGAAAGGCTTGCACCCTGATCAGGAGGGTGTACCAGTGGATTTGGACGAACTCAAGCCATTTCTATAGTTACAAGTGAACTGATTCCAGACATTTCGGTACGTCTCTGGCTGTGATGTTCTGATTGTTCTTTCAGAGGCATGCGGTGCTCGCTCAAAAGAAGGTGCGGAAGAAGAGGAGGGGAGGGGAGAGGGGACTGAAAGGGGGGGAGGAGTTGCTCCTCGCAGTCCTTGGGCCTCCCCTTCTGTGCCCTCTCTGTCGCGCCCTGCGGCGCGGTCAGGCGGTGCCCTTCGGCCAGGCGAGCCCGTCCGAGGGCGACTCCTCCAGCACCACTTGCGAGGCTCGTAGCCCCTCACAGACTCGTCGTCGTCGTCGTCGTCGTCGCCGTCGGGAGGCGGAGGCGGAGGGGGGGGGCGGAGGAAGAGGAGGAGGAGGAGGAGGAGGAGGAGGAGGAGGAGGAGGAGGAGGAGGAGGAGTTGGAGTTGGAGTTGGAGTCCCTGGACGTAGTCCTTCCACTCATCACCTACACCTCTTCAGGGCTTTACGAGCTAATTCCGCTTTACTGTAGACTTTGGGCCATTGCCCCAACCTAATCAAACGAAGATATTCACTCCTCGTCGCGGTGGGGCGGGGGACGCAAACCTTCCCAAGGCCGCAAAGCTGCTGGTCCCCATACATCCCACAACTCGCACAAAACCAAATCTTTAATTCGGCGTGAAACCTCATACAATGGGAGGGGTCCACAAACCCCCCAGCAATGTGAATGGTGGCCCCCTCAGGAAGTGCACGAAGGGAGCTATCAAGGGCAACTAACCTGAAACACGGAGACTTACGCCAAACCGAGACGCGCGCAGCCGACGCGGACCCTCGGCACCGCAGACAGCGCCTACCACACTCCGACAGAGCATGGCTCGTCTCAAAGGCCGACATAATATTCTGGCTCGGAGGCGGGGGAGGGGGCGGGGGGTCGGCAGCAGCAGCAGCAGCAGCAGGCCCACCGAGCTCCACCGCTTCCCTCCGTCCCCGAGCTCCTCGCCTCGGGTGCCGACCGTTCAGCGGGGTCGGCTGCAGCGTCTTCTCGGCCTCCATGGCGTCGAGGTGCGACCTGGGAATCCTCATGCGGATAAGGTACAACACGCGCTCCTTTTCCAGTATGTCGGTGCGGACAGCTTCAGGTATACGAGCTATGGTCGCACCTTCACCTGCCAAAGTGTCCGCTGCTGCATTGCCAACCGTCATCCAAGAAGAGCCCGCTCGATGCACGACATCCTCGGCCTCCAGGTGCGAGTTCGTGAATAACACTGTCACATGCTCAGGTCGCCGTCCCGTGTTATGAAACAGCAAGCCTGTCTTCGCCCACAACTCAGCGTGCTCTCCAGTTGGGTGATGATATTTCTGAGGCCACCAACCTTCGTGCACCATCTGGTTGTCTGTCACATACGTTACATATTGTTCCGTCAGCCGCAAGGCTACCCAGAAGATATAAAGCTCACATCTGGGCACCGTCTGAACAACACCTGGGAGAGCTCCAAATAGGGATACTTGCAGCTGGAGGTCCGTTTCACTTTCCATCTGTGCGAGACCGAGACCGATACGTCTGAACCTCCCGTCTGATGAATCCGCCCCGCCACTAGCGTCGCCAAAGAGCAGCACTGGCCTGGCACACTCACCAGGGCCTAAGACTCCATCAGCAACACCATCGTTGAGCCCCGTCTGGAACCAGACCTCCTCATCAGGCGGCTCGGGTACCACGGTCCACTGTGCTGGCATGGCTCCGCGGAGCCAGTACGCTGGAGCAGACTCATGTTGAGAAGCCGCTTGCATATACACCTCGTCCGACTTGGTATAGATAGGGTGATGAACGCTGTGATCGCATTCCCATATTCGATGAAAAGGTGACACATTGCGTCTTTTGCAACGAGGACACAGCGCGCATGCTTGGACCTTGGTGGAGGCCTCAGCTCGACGGAGCCTCGGCCACGACCCTCCAGCAACTACCGTCGATAACAACTCTGAGAGCCTGCGCCCGCGGGGAAGCTGCTCCAGGTGCTTCAGAAGCCGCTGCAGAGATACAACATCCATGCCTTGCCCAAGACCTTCACCACAGAAATGCCTCCCAGCAGAAGCCCACACGAACCTCTCCGACGATCTGTTAAAATCCTGGAAAAAAGCTTGGTGTCGTTTAAAGCCGAGATGTACGAATACCCAGCTTCTGGAAACCTCCACTGCGTTCCGTCGGCCATGATCCAGCAATCTGGTGATACTGGATCCCATCCCCGTTCAAGAAGAGTCAAACTCGCCGTGGACATCGGTCCCCTCACCCACCTAGAGCGCTGATGGGGAGGCAAGCTTTTGAAATGACCAACCACCCGCGCCCACGCCTTGTGCACACGTCCTCGAATCTCTGGACGGGCGAGGAGGAGGAGGGGGAGGAGGATGAGGAGGAGGAGAGAAGAGAAGGACGAGGAGGAAGAGGCGGAGGAGGAGGAGGAGGAGGAGGAGGAGGAGGAGGAGGCCGAGACGGATGCGGCTGAGGATGCGCCGTTGTTGTTGAGAAGGGAGGTGGGGGGTGGAGGAGGTGGGGGAGGAGGATTAGGATGAGTGTGGGTAATGCTGAGAGTGATGACGATGCTTGTGATGACGATGACGATGATGATGATGATGCTGCTGATGCTGATGCTGATGCTGATGCTGCTGCTGATGATGATGAGGATGTGGAGGATGCTGATGATGATGGTGATGTTGATGATGCTGATGTTGATGATGATGATGCTGGTGCTGCTGATGCTGATGTCGATTATGCTGGCGATGACGATGATGCTGATGTTGACGATGATGCTGCTGCTGATGATGATGACGGTGATGCTGCTGATGCTGATGCTGCATGATGCCTCTGCTGCTGATGATGATGATGATGCTGATACTGATGATGATGACGGTCACGATGCTGATGCGGCTGCTGATGATGTTGATGATGATGCTGATGCTGATCATGATGATCCTGATGCATATGATGATGATACTGTTGTTGTTGATGATGATGGTGGCGGGATGATGCTGCTGACGATGACGACGATGATGCTGATGATGACGGTGATGACGATGATGCTGATGATGATGACGATGCTGCTGGTGATGGTGATGATGATGATAATGGCGAAGAGGTGGTTGCTGACGACGATGACATCGACGACCATGAGGATGCTATATACTGATTTCGGTGATGGTGATGGTGATGATGATGCTGCTGATGCTGATGCTGCTGCTGTTGTTGATGATGATGGTGATGATGCTGATGCTGATGCTCAAGACGGTGCTGACAATGATTCTGATGAGGATGATGACGATACCGACCATGATGGCACATACTATGTTTGACCTGGTGGCGAGTATTCTGACCACGGTGGCGAGCAGTACGACGACCATTCTGGTGATGATTACGATAGCGATGGTGACGGTGATGGTCATGATATTGACGATGGCGATTCTGCTGTTGATGATGGTACTGGTTATCAGGATGATGAGGAGGGTAAATGAGGAGGGCGGAGAGGAGAGCTGCGCCGAGAGGGTACCAGAGCACTCGACCCCGTAAGTCAAAAAGGAGGAGGAGGACGGCGAGGAGAAGGAGGAGAGAAGAGGAAGGGGAGCAGGAGGAGGACGAGGAGGAGCAGGAGGAGGAGGAGGAGGAGGAGGAGGCCGAGACGGAGGTCGATGAGGATGCGCCGCTGTTGTTGAGAAGGGGGGTGGGGGGCGGAGAAGGAGGGGGAGGAGGATTAGGATGAGGGCGGGTAATGCTGAGAGTCATGACGATGCTTGTGATGTCGCTGATGATGATGCTGATGATGATGATGATGATGCTAATGATGATGATGATGCTGATGCTGCTGCTAATGATAATGATGTTGATGATGATGAGGATGCGGATGATGATGATGCTGGTGATGATGATGATGACGATGATGACGATGATGATACTGATGTTGACGATGGTGATGATGAGTGATAATGTCTCTGATGATTACGATGATGACGGTCATGATGATGCTGCTGCTGATGATGTTGATGTTGATGATGATGCTGATTATGATGATGATGATGATGATGATGCTGCTGATGATGATGATGATGATGATGATGATGGTGATGGTGATGGTGATGATGATTATGGCGGGGATACTGAGGATGATGCGTCTGATGATGATGATGATGACGATTCTGAGGATGCTGATGATGATGATGATGATGGTTGTGATGATACTGATGCTGGTGATGGTGATGATGATGACGATGCTGCTGCTGCTGCTGCTGCTGCTGATGATGATGATGATGATGATGATGATGATGGCGACGAGGTGGCTGTTGACGACGATGACAGCGACGACTATGAGGATGCTATATTATGATTTCGGTGATGGTGATGGTGATGATGATAATGCTGCTGATGCTGCTGCTGCTGCTGTTGATGATGATGATGATGATGATGATGATGATGATGATGCTGATGCTGATGATAATGATGATGATGATGATGATGATGATGATGATGATGATGATGATGATGATGATGATGATGATGATGATTATGATGATGATGATGATGATGATGATGATGATGACGAGGATGATGATGATGATGATGATGATGATGATGATGATGATGATGGTGGTGGTGGTGGTGGTGGTGGTGGTGGTGGTGATGATGATGATGATGATGATGATGATGGTGGTGATGATGATGATGATGATGATGATGATGATGATGATGATGATGATGATGATGATCACGGTGCTGGCAATGATTTTGATGAGGATGATGACTGTGACGACCATGATGACATATACTATGTTTGACCTGGTGACGAGTAGTCTGACCACGGTGGCGAGGAGTATGAAGGCCATTCATTATGGTGATGATTGCGATAGTGATGGTGATCGTGATGATGGTAATGGTTATCAGGATGATGAGGAGGGTAAACGAGGAGGGCGGAGAGAAGGGCTGCGCCGAAAGGGTACCAGAGCCCGCAACCGTATGTCCATAAGGAGAGGTGGAGGGCGAGGAGGAGGAGTACGAGGAGTTGGAGGACTCTGGATGACCCAGGATGCCTCCTCAGGCCTATGGAGGTTCCTTGAGATTTCCCGCGACCTACTGAGTCTTCCGGAGGCCTCCAAAGGTCTCCGGGGCCTTCCAGAAACCTCTGGAGTGGGACCTCCGACAGACTCGCCGCTTCGACGCGGCGGCGACGCTGGTGTGGGCGCGCAAGGTTCATCAGAACTCTGAGGGCCTCGCTTCTTGCTGCCGGGCCCACAGAGAACAACCGACGGCACGAAAGCCACAATGGCGAGAAGCTTTGCCGAGAGCATCTAGGGAATGCCGGAAGCGGAGATCATTCTAGACTGATCGGTCCGCGCGGTAGCGGAAGCTCGGTCCCCAGCCTTGCTGGCAGGAGTTCGTGGTGCGGCTGGACGCGAGGACGATGGGTGGAGCAATTCTGCTTTCCTCCTCCTCCTCCTCCTCCTCCTCCTCCTCCTCCCACGGTCTCGAGCACAGCTCCGATCCAGGCGCGAGGCGATCCCAGGATCTTCCTGATTTCCCTTCCACTGCCTCCTCCTCCTCCTCCTCCTTCATCACGTGAGCTGGCATACGTTTCACATGCTTGAATTCAGGTTCTTCCTTGTCGAGGCCACGGCCTCCGCGCCATGCCCTAACCCCATCCCCCAGATAATAAAGCATCCCCCTTAAACCTTTGTATCTATTTATCCACGGGGTTGAATGTGGTTTCATTGCCACAGCAGGCGGGGAGGCCGAACTTTCTGATCCCATCCAGAGTTCCTATCGTAGCTTTGATCTTCATCACATGCGTAGCACCATGAATCATCCTTGTCATCAATCGCTTCGCTCATTCCGCCGGCCCATCTTGTAGCATCGCTGGCACTTGCTTGCATGCTTGGGGGCGCATTTGGGGGGCCTCCTGGGGCCGCTTGGGGGCCTCTTGGGGGCCTCCTGAGGGCCTCGTGGGGGCCTCCAGGGGCCTTTTGGGGCCTCTAGGGGCCTCTTGGGGGCCTCTAGGGGGCCTCTTGGGCGCTTCAGGGGGCCTCTCGGGGCCGTGGGCTCGAAATATCCGTGCGGGTCTCTCGTCTGGACCCCCTCTTGGAGCCGTCTTGGGGACCTCTTGGGCTGTCTTGGAGGCCTCTTGGGTCGTCTTGGGGCTCTCTGGGGCGGTTTTGGGCCCTCGTGGGGGCCTCTTGGGCCGTCTTGGGGCGATCTTGGGGGCCTCTTGGGCCAGTTTTGACGTTGTGAAAGCTCAAGTGGCGAATATGCTGAAAATATACGCTTTGCCTAAGGAATGGGACGACTTTTTCCTCTTGGGGCCCTCTTGGGACGCTTCTTGGGGGCCTGTTGGGGCGTCTGGGCGACGGCGGCGCTGTCCCTCGCGCGGCAGCGCCGCTGGCCCAGCCGAGGGCCCCCGCGCCCGCCTCCGTCGCCCCCTCGCAACCCCGCCGACGGAAAAGTTTAGATCGAGAGCGTTTCTCTTAAGGCAACTGGGCCAATATAAAGTTTTCTTTGCGTTTGTATCAACGCACTTGTTTGTTTATATAAACTTTTCGGGGCTCTCCCGCGCGAGACCTTCTGCTTCGGAGAAGCTTAGATTGTTGTAGTATTGAGTTTATATGAACTTTTTTTGGTCTGGTGCCTAAACTTTGTTTTTGGGGTGGATCTAAGCTTTTCGATGCGCGCCTGCGCGGGGCCCGACGCCGCTAAGGGCCGACGTGCCCGTTGGTTTTTGCCCCGGCACGAGCGCTCGAATGTCCACGATGATTTTGAGCATTGACCGCGCGCTAGCGCAAGGAAGCACCAAGTTCAAACGTCAAGAAGCATAGCAGCAGCGCGCCGTTCGCACTGAATCGCGCCGCGTTGTCGAGCAGTTTCCGCTTGCAGTTCGCGCGTCGTTTGACGGTCCCATTGGTCTAAAGTTCCTCACGTGGGGGGCGGGGGTCGTTTTTCATGCGTTCAAAATGTTGTAACCCGTGGCCACGCACCCCTTCCTCTTCGTCGGGGCCATCAGCTTACCACCGCCGCGTTTCCACAATCACCACCCGCCATTGCATCGTGCAGTTTTGCCGACGCCGCTGGCAGCCGCCGCCGCCGCGACCGCCCGCGCCGGTTCCGCCAACGGTGCCGCCGCCAGTGCCAAACCCAGGTCGCCCTCAGGAGCGCGACGATGGTCGCGTTTCGCGCATCGCGGGCTGGACTGGAGAGTCGCTTTGTTCCAGGGGACAAGGCGCAGGAGCGGCGAGGATAGATAACACGCCATGTATTTACGTATACGCGTATATGCACATACCTAGGTGCATGCCTGCTCGTATGTGTGCATGTAGGCATGTACATGGAGTTGCACATACGTGTATATATACGTACGTATACATATATGTCTATATATGCACACGCGCACGCAACTTTACATGCGCAATTACATGTATATGCAACGCATGCGTTTTTTGTATGTACATGTACATGCCTTTGCATATGCATTTTCACAGCTACATGCATATGCGTATGCATACGCGTTTGTGTATATATACATGTATATGTTTGTTTCCGCATGTATATATACATGTATATATACATATGTTTTGCTATTTGTATATATTATATATACGTATATGATTATGCATATGTACATGCGTATGAACATGCACATGTATGTATGTATATATGTCTGTCTGTATGTATGTATGTATGCATGTATGCATGTATGTATGTATGTATGTGCGTATGTGGATGCATATGTATATGTAACTCTCCACGAATATGTATGTGTATATAAAAAGGCTATGTTCCTCAATCAGAGCTTGCCTCTGTAGGGGTCCTAGCAGATTCATATGGTTAGGTGAGCGTCGCCGCCGATTTAGGTGGTCGGCCCGGGTGCCCGGGTGCCCCGGTGCCCGGCGTCGTCGTCGATTTGGGTGGCGGGCCCCGGTGCCCGGGTGCACGGGTGCCGGGATGCCCACGGGTGCCTGGCTGCCTGGGTGTCAGCCCAATAGCACTATAGCCTTATTGCCCTAAGCCCTATAGCCCTATAGCCCTATAACCCTATAGCCCTATAGCCCTATAGCCCTGGAGCCCTATAGCCCTAATAGGTCTATAGCCTTATAGCTCCATAGCCCTATAGCCCTATAGCCCTATAACCCTATAGTCATATAGCCTTATAGCCCAGTAGCCCTATATCCCTATAGCCCTATAGCCCTATAGCCCTATAGCCTTATAGCCCCATAGCCTCATAGCCCTAAACATATTCGGATTGGTATTTTTCTCTGGTGTCATATCTGTATATGTGTGTGAACATGTGTATGTACATGTATATGTGAATTCATATACGTATATCCATACGTATATGTGCATGCATGCATGCATGCATGTATGTATGTATGTTTGTATGTGTGTATGTCTATGTCTATGTTTGTATGTGTATATACATGTGTGTATGTATGTATGTACGTGTGCGTGAATGCATTCGTGTAGGTCTGTTTGTATGTACGCGTGTGCTCGAACGCATGTATACGCAATGCATGTATACACATGTATGTATGCATATTTTCTATTATTAATTATGTATATGTACATGTACGTGTATCTGTATATGTATATGTTGATTTTCGTGCATATGTGTATGTGCTTGCTTTTTGTATGTGTACAGTCATATGTATATGTCTATGTATATGTGTATGCACGCGTATATGCACGTATACGTATATGTACATGTGTCTTTGTATGCACATGTGCATGTGTATGAATAAGTAGATGGACATGTCTATGTCTATGCACATGTCTATGTATGCTTTCGGCGTATTTGTATATGAACATGCCAATATATATGCATACATATATATACATATATATATAATATGTATGTATATGTATATGTGTTTGTTTGTACATGTATGCATGCATGTATGTATGTTTGTATGTGCGTATGTATATGTGTATGCACATGTGTAGACGTGTGTGTATGTGTGTATGCTTACACGCATGTATGTATCTATGTATATATATATATATATATATATATATGTGCACGCGTGTATGAAGACATGCCTTGTTTTCATGTGTGCATGTGCCACTGTACATACATGTGTACGTACATATATATATATGTAAATATGTATTATGTGCAGGTCTATGTATATGAATATGAATACATATGTATGTGTATGTTTTTGGTGCACGTGTATGTATATATACTTGAGTATGTATATGCATATGTGATTGTACATGTACATGCATATGTATGTGTATATGTATATGCTTGTGTAAATGTATAGATGTATATACGCCCGTTTGTATATACACATATATAAAAATATGTGTATATGTAAGTACATGTAAGTCTATGTTTGTATATGCATGTATACTTAGGAGTTCTTCTATATACATATATATACGCATATGAGACAGGAGAAACACCCAATCAGGGCTATAGGGCTAGGGGGCTATGGGGCTACAAGGCTGTTGAAATATAGGGCTATAGAGCTATAGGGCTATAGAGTTGTAGCGCTATAGGGCTACTGGGCTACTGGGCTATAGGGCTATAGGGCTATGGGGCTTAGGGCTATAGGGCTATAGGGCACCCCCGGGCACCCCAGGGCACCCCCGGGCACGCCTGGGCACCCGGGCACCCGCGCACCCGGGCACCCGGGCACCCCCGGGCACCCCTGGGTCCCCCGGGCCCCGGGCACCCCTGGGCACCCGGGCACCCGGGCGTGCAGCGACAATCAGCGACAAACCCAACCGAACCATATGAACCCGCTAGGACCCCTACAGAGGCAAGCTCTGATTGGGGAATATGTATAATATATACATATAGTCATATATTCATATATCTATAGATGTATATTCATATATACGTACATATCGATATCATGAGCTGTGGTCTTTTCGCTGTGCCCTGCGGCCGCGCGGTTGGCCACGGAGCGCACTCGGCGAGAGGCGGAGGGGGCCCTGCACCGGGAGACCAGCGAGGACGGCTCCCACTCGGACACCTCCGCGTCCCGCTGCCAGGACGCGGTTCAGGACAGTCCCTGCTCGTCCTGCTGCTCTCCCCTTTGCCGGTGCCTCTGCTGCTCCTCCCACTTCGCGCGTCCAGCACCACCCCGGCGCACAGCATCGATCCAGGAACCCCCTTCTAGGATCCCCTCGACTCCCTTGCTGCTGATGCTGCTGTCTCCGCCCCCATCCTCCTCGCCCTCCTCCTCCCTCACGTTGCCACTCCCGCCGCAACGACCACTGCACCTTCCCGTCCCTGCCGCTATACCGGTCCCACTGCTTCTGCTGCCGCCGCCTACGCGGTCTTCTCTTGGGGCTGTCTTGGTAGCCTCTTGGGCCCCTCTTGTGGGTTTTGGGGCTGTCTTGAGGCGATCTTGGGTGCCCGGGCCTGGAGGCGATATCGGGCCTATCTTGGGGGGGATGGCCCCAGAAGCCTCGTCGAGTTTCACCTCAGGGGGCCCCTCTTGGTGCCGCCTGTGGGGCCTCTTGGGACCCTTTCAGGTTCTCGGGGGGCCGTCTTGCCTCTTGGGCCGTCTTGGAAGCTCCCAAGTCCGAATAGGAGTGTTGTTCGCAGCTCATACACACCGTTCGAGTATTCAATACCTATACGACCACCCTTCGGGTGAGAAGGAGACTGCGGGGAGGGGAAAGAACCAATTGCGGACAATTGCGATGGGCGTGATGATGACGGTGCTGGTGGCACGCCGTCGAGTTCGTGACGACGCGTGATAACTATGTTACGCAGCGATGTGATGGCGCTATCGACACCGCTATCGATCTCACTCGATCGATCTCACTATCGGTTTTGCGATCGATATTATTATCGATCTCACCCGACTGATCTCACAATCGATTTCATATCCGATCTATGGAGCGATCTCAATCGATCTCACAATCGAGCTCACAATCGATCCCACTATCGATCTCACTGCCGATCTCGCAGTCGATCGCACTGTCGACCTCACAATCGATTGCACTGTCGATGCAGCTATCGATCTCACTATCGAACTCACTGCCGCTCACGGTCGATGCAGCTACCGATCTCACTATCGACCTCACAATCTTTTCTATCGATCTCACTACCGATCTCAACATCTCGGTCGTCATCGATCTCACTATCGATTTCACTGTCGATCGGAACATCATCGGGACACCACAGCGGGACATCGCGGGACACCCCGGCACACCACTGGACACCACGAGACACCACAGGGCACCACTGGGACACCGAAGGGCACCACGGGACACCACGGGAAACCACGAAGACACCACTGCGGGACACCCCCAGCCACCTCGCGCCCACTGGAGGGCCAGACTTTTGCATCCAAATCGCCCTAGCGACAGCGGGATCATTCCTCTCGCGCGTCCACGCAGCTTCGCCTCGCCCGCACGCGCGACACGAACACGAAACCGGAACCGATTTCCCCGTGGGGGGCTCTGCGTTCCACTGCGATCTCACACCCCAACCTCTGATCGAAGACGCCTGCGGCGAATCACCGCTGCCGCCTGCCTTTGTGGAAATACTGGTGTGGCAAAAGCTGGCCACGATGTTGGACTGCAATGAACATGCTTTAATCCATGATTGGTTCGCCGAGCAATTCATGCTGTGACTGTGATGTAAGGGCCACTGTGAGTAACTACTCTCGGCGATCATGCTGTAATTACAATGGACTTCGAATCGTCGAGGGATACGAATCGTAATTGCCAGAGGATTACCAGGGCCAGCGATAACTATTGAGTTGGAGAGGACTTTGCATTAGAATTTCAAGAGTTAGAAAGGATTTGGAATCGCTGCGCCATTGGATTCAGATTTGCCAGAGGATGCGGGGGCCAGGAAGAGATATTGAGGTAGAGAGAACTTTGCAATTACATTTCTAGAGTTCGACAGGATTCTGAATCGCGGTGGAATTCGACTCAGCATTGTCAGAGGATTGCCATAGCCAGCAATAACTATTGAGTTGGAGAGGAATTTGCATTTGAATTGCCAGAGTTAGAAAGGATTCCGAATCGCGGCGGACATGGACTTCAGCTGTGCCAGAGGATGCTGGGGCCAGGGAGAAATATTGAGTTGAAAAGAAATTCGCAATTCAATGTATGGAGTTAGAAGGGGTTCTGACTCGTAGATAGCAGAGTTGCCAGAGGATTTCCTGGGCCAGCGATAATTGTTGAGTGGGAGAGGAATTTGCAGTTTAATTTCCAGAGTTAGGAAGGATTCCGAATCGCGACGGAAGCTAATTCATATTTACCAAGAGGATGCCGTGGCCAGAGAGAAATATTGAGCTGGAGGTGAATTTGCATTTAAATTTTCGGGGTTAGACAGGATTCTGAATCGCGGTGGAATTCGACTCAGACTTGCCAGATGATTACCAGGGCCAGCGAGAACAATTGAGTTGGAGAGGAATTTGCATTTTGATTTCCAGATTCAGATGGGACTCCGAATGGCGGCGGAATTGGGTTCTGTTGTGCCAGAGGATTCCGGGGCTGGAGAGAAATGTTGAGTTGGATGGGGGGGATTTGCAATTGAATCTTCGGAGTTAGAAAGTTTTCTGACCCGTGGATGATTTCGAATTTGAAGTGCCAGAGGATTAGCAGGGTTCTGCGAACATTATTGCGTTGGAGAGGAATTTGCAATTTAATTTCCAGAGTTAGGTCGGATTCCGAATCGCGCCAGATCTGGACTCAGCTTTGCCACAGGATGCCAGGGCCTGAGAAATATTGAATTGGAGAGGAATTTGCGCATGAATTTCCAGAGAAAGGATTTCGAATCGCAGCGAACACGCTCAGATTCGCCCGATGAGTGCCAGGCCATGGAGAAATATGAACTTTGAGAAAACTTTTAGAACTACGGAGGGTTTTAAGTCGTAGTTAGAGGAATTCGAATCAGAATTGCCAGGGAATTGCTAGGGCCAGAAAGACATGTGGAGTTGGAGAGGAATTGTCATATGAGTATCCAGAGTTAGCGAGGATTCGGAGTCGTAAAGTATTTTTTTAACAGATTTGCCAAAGGATTGCCAGGCCAGCGAGAATTATTGAGTTGGAGAGGGGTATGCGATTGTTTCTTGAGTAAGAGTTCAGCATCGCGGCGGAATTGAAATCCGAGTTGCCAGAGAATGACCAAGGCCAGCGATAAATATTGAATTGGAGAGGAAGTTGTTTTTTCGCCGCGATTCAGAAACCTTTCTAAATTCCGGAAATTCAATTGCAAATTTCTCTTCAACGCAATATTTCTTTCTGGCCCTGGCATTCCTCGGGCGAGTCAGATTCACATTCCGCCCCGATTCAGAATCCTTTCTAACTCCGGATACAGTTTCCCTCCAACTTAACATTCCTTCCTTGCCCTGGCAATTCTCGGGCGAGTACGAGTCCAATTCCGCCGCGATTCACGGTCCTTTCTAATTGTGGAAATTTAAGTCCGCATTCTTCTTCAACTCAATCTTTCTCTCTGACCCATGCCATCGTCTGGCAAATCTTATTCCGATTCCGCCGCGATTCGAAATCTGTGCGAAGTCTGGATGGACATTAAATTACACATTCCTCCAACTCAATATTTGTTTCTGGTCCCGGCAATCCTCTGGCAAATCTGATCCGACTTCCATTGCGACTTCAAGTTTCTCCTAATCCTGGAAATTCGTACGCACAGTCCTCTCCAACTCGATATTTCCCTCTGGCCCTGGCAATCCTCTGGGAAGGATGACTCGAATTTTCTACGATTCGGGATTCCTTTGGCTCTGGACATCAATATGTACATTCCTCTCCCAATCTTTTTTTCTCTGGTGCCTAGGTTCGATCCGTATTCGCATGCGTGTGCCGCGCGCGGGCCTGCAGTATCAATGCCCGTCGCAATTCTTGCTGTACTTGTTCCACAGCGCGCGTTGCAGCAAATAATTCCTAAGCCAGTTATCGCTGTACCGTGCCTCAATTTTTTCAGTGGTATGTGTTCCCCCCCAGCCCTTGTGAATATCCTTGGGGGAGCACTTCGGAGAGGAAGGGAGGGAGGAGGAGGAGCAGGAGGATCATGATGATGCTGGTGCTGATGCTGCTGATGATGCTGATGATGCTGATGATGATGATGCTGATGATGATGATGTTGTTACGGATGCTGACTTTGATTATGCTACTGCTCATGATGATCATGATGCTGCTGGTGCTGCTATTGATGAAGAGGTGGCGTTTGCAAACTCCGCCCCCACCCCCTGTGCCCCCCCCCCTCCGAGGCCTCCATGACCCCCCGGCCGCTCCAAGCAGCTTCAGGGAGCGGCCCAGCAATGCCGAAGGACTGGAGCTTGCTAGAACCTACGCGCGTGCGAAGCGCGCGCGTGTGGTTCTAGTGTGTGTGTGTGTGTGTGTGTGTGTGCGTGTATACATATATATATATATATATATATATATATGTATGCACTGCTGCCCGCGTGGTGCAACTGATGTAGTGGAATATGCGGTCCAGCCTGAACGTGGTGGGAGCCAGGTGGGGCAACCTGTGAGGTGCAACTTGTGTGGTGCAATCTCTGTGGTGCATTCCCGGTGGTGCACATCTACATGGTGCAACCTACGCGGTGCACCGCACATAGGGCAGTTGCAGGGCCACGAGGGCGCGCCCACCATGGAGCACCGTAGGTCACCATGGGGCAGCACGTGCGATCTACGGGTGCCCACGAGCCGCAAACCCGGCACGCACAGGTCCTGAGGAGCCACAGCAAATCTCCCGTGCTGGCACTGCCTCGGGAAAGTGCTCCTGCTAAGCACGGGCGAACATGACGGGAGCCGCGGAGCAGGGAGGAACGTCCAGAGGAGGATCTGGTCGCATGACGGTGGGAAGGAGGGCCCTCGCGCTGCACGCCAAGGGCGACCCGATGTCGGTCTCGGTGCGCTCTGCGGCACTTCCCGGCTGGCCCGCTGCCGGAGGATCAAGATGAGCCGAAGCCGTTCCTGACGCCCGGCGCCGCATCCTCCAAGTGGCACCAGCGGGGGGGGTTGCGACGGGCGAGACAGATGCCAGGGTGGAAGAGGCAGGTACCGACGGTGAGTGAGAGAGAGAGAGAGAGAGCGAGAGGGAGAGGGAGAGAGGGAGAGAGGCAAAGAGAGAGAGAGGGAGAGATGGATAGAGAGAGAGAGAGAGAGAGAGAGCGAGGCAGAGAGCGAGAGGGAGATAAAGAGATGCGCGCACAACTATGTATGTTTACATGCCAATGCTGTGGCAATCTAGCTGAACGTGCTTGCCTCGCTTTTCCCATCCGAGCGTTGCCTCTCCTCTCCGTTCTCGTTCTGGCCTGATGCAGCTTGCGGCAGCTTCTGCGAGACACTTCGAATTTGCTTGACGCGTGCCACGCTGATTGCGCCTCCCAGCCGAACGCATGCCCAACGACCCCGGTCATGCCGAGAGCTTCTTGGGACCCCGACACGACGGCGCCGCTAAGCAAGAGGGCCAGCAACGAGGCAAAGTCTGGGGGTTGCGCCGCTGGGTTACGAGTACGCGCGGCCAGAGAGAGAGAGAGAGTGCTCCAGGTCCCGACTGCGTCCCCTCCGTAGCTTCGGAGTGCGCTCGGCAGTCTCGAGGTCGACGCACTGAACGACATCACGGTCCTATTCGACCGGGAGGACGCAGGCGACGACGTGCGTCAGGCTTGCTGGGGCGAGCGAAGCGACGGCGTGGTTTCTGGAGTCCCCAGCTTGGTGTGCCTTCCTGAGTCCCCAACTGGCGAGGACCCGCAGCTTGGCGACTACTTCAGAGCGAAGCGGTCGACATGCGCGCCCCCTGGCAATCGCGAGCTGCGACAACAGAGTCGCGGCGAGCTCCATGTGTTGCCGCTGGAATCAGTACTTCGACGGGCTCGCCTGGGATCGCCAACAAGGTTTCTTGACGGCCTTTCTGAAGAATCTGAAGAGCTACTTGGAGGTGGAGAGTGAAATGGTATGACGAGCCTGGAGTGAACATTGAGCTGCCGCTGTTTTTGTCGACTTTGCAGTCGCCATCCCTTCCACCTCCCAGTCGTAAGCTGCGGGGCGCTTGAATCATGTCGGTGTCCCGAGCTGAGCGATTAACGCCTCGTTGAGCTTGTGCAGCGAATGCAATTCCAACGTCGAGTCATCGACCGTCGCTTCGACAGCTTTCCAGTGTCATCTGGGGTGTGCCAAAATTGTCCTTTACCGCCTCTCATCTGAGCGGTCGTGGCGGAGAGCCTCCTGGATACTAGAATCTATCGAGGCGCGCTCCCTCGACGTGTTCTCCCGCGTGCATGCTGATGACACAGCGTTGGTGTTGAAGGACATCGGGGCTTCTGCTGCGCCGCGGGTGGACGTCTTCGAGACTTTCGAGCAGATTTCCGGCTGGCGTTTGCACGTGGTGAAGGCGTTGCCCTCCCCCTCAACGCCTCCACGTTCCACGGGGTCGCGCGACGGAAGGTCTAAAAAGCGCCGTGTTGGGCCGCAGTCCCTCCATCCTCTCGTCCTCCTCCTTCTTCTCCTCCTCCTCCTCCTCCTCCTCCTCCTCCTCAAGCCGTTTTGCATCGTTCCCGAGTCGCTGGGCGCGCGCCTCCGCCGTGCTCGCCGCGGGCTCCGATGGCGGCGGTGCAGGAGCGGAAGCTCATTCAGGTGGCGCTGGCGGCTGCTCGCGGAGCAGTCCTGGCGACGCACCCGGCAGCTGGCCTTTCGCGCAGCGCAGTGGCGGCCTGCTGCTTGCTGCGTTCGGCTGAGGGCATCCGCCGCGCGGCCGTGGCGGAGCTGCAGGCTGCCCAGTCAGCGCCCGCGTGCGGACTCCTTTCGTGGTGATGGTGATGGTGGAGGCGCAGGGTTGCCTGGCGCTCCCGCGGCTGCTGCGCCGCCCGATGGCTCTCGGCCGCGGCAGAAGCGGCGTCGCGCCAGGAAGCGCCGTGCGGCCGGCATGCTGGTCGAGCCCGCGGCTCCTCCCAGCGCCGTGGTGGTGGAGGCGGCGGCGGACGGGGCGGCGGCGGCGGTCGCGGCTGGGGGCTCGCAGGGCGAGGGCGTCGCGGCCCCGCCGTCGCCCCTGGACCGACGACTGCTGGGCCGACACGCTCCCCGCGCGGCCCTCGGCGATGGTGGCGGCTGCGGCGACTGGCGGGGCGCCTGCGCGGCCGGCGGCTCCGGTGGCGCCGGCTCGGGCGGCAGCCGTGGCCCGCAAGCTTGGTGTCGCCCTCGACAGCGGCCCGGCCGCCATCTTCGCGGCGGCGGACGAGCTCGCGCGCCGCGGGGCCGAA